AAGATTTTCCTATATTGTTGCACAATTTTAAGATAATTTTTGTCTCAATATCAACTTTTTTCAATGAATAAAAATTGAACTGGGTCAAGAAAACGCCTATTTGAAAGTCTACGCTGCCAGCGTCCGGAGCTGTTCTTCTGAGTGCAATAGGGATGCTAGGCCGTCCCTGCCCCCGTTCGCTGGGTCTGTTTCAGGATGTTTATTTCATAGATGAGGCAACTCTAACTGGCTAACCAGCCGGTCTCGGGTGGCGGCTCCGTGAGGAGCACGTGCCTCTGTGGGGGCTGAGGGACGGGAGAGGCTGGGAGGCTGTGGAGTGACTAGACTTGTGTGGTGAGGGGTCCCTCTGAGCGGTGGTTCCCTTTGCTAAGAGAGAGGCATTAAGAAGGCAGTTTTCACACCCAAGAGAAGGAGGGAGAGTGAGTGAGTGAGTGAGGAGCCCTGTGGCCAGGAGCCTCTGGGGAAGTGGGCCAGGCGGGAGGTCCCAAAGGGCGCGCACTGGTCCTTAGTGTTTTAGGCTCCGATGACTTGTTGACACATGACAGTTGTTGGGTCCGGACCCCTCTGCTAGGGACGCCGGGATTGGGAGAAAAGGCGACCAGTGCGGGCAGATAGGATGTGCTTTACTGCCGACCAAGACAGCCATGGAAGCACAGGAGCTGCTGCACACAGCTGCCCCTACGCTGTTCAGCAGCACCTTTTATTCTCAGACAAGAGAGGCTGCTTGCCAGGTGGTGACATCAGCGTTCCATGAGACACGTGCACCTGTGCAGTGTGTACAGAAAAGTGCCTTTCACATCCAGTGTGCTCTGGTCAGGGTCCCCACAGCAGTGAATCCGTCTCTCTTGGATAAATGCACCTTCACCAGGCTTGTGAGACTGCTGTGCCACAGAACAGTGAGGCCTCCTGTGGCCTCAAACAGCGTGGGAGCGCGGCCAGAGCATCCTGGCCCTGAGGGGACACCTACCCCGGAAGCAGTCACAGCTAGAAGGCAGCTTGGGGAGCATGGACGCAGAATAAAGGCAGTGGGAGGGGTCCAGGTGAGAACAGTGATCACCCAGTGAGTAGAGAATGAATGAGCGAATGATTGACACTCCGCTACAGGAATAATTCGCTCCATAGAAACTTAGTGTTGGAAACCTCCAGGTTACAAACTCCCTGTATCCACTTTTATTTAAGAAGTCCTCAAAAAATTAAATATGGAACTGCCATTTGACCCAGTGACCCCACTTCTAGGAGTATATCCTAGGAAACCCGAAACACCAATCAGAAGGTATACACCCCTATGTTCATAGCAGCACAGTTTACAATAGCTAAGACCTGGAAACAGCCCAAGGGCCCATCAGTAGATGAGTGGATAAAAAACTGTGCTACATTTATACCATGGAATACTGTGCAGCAGTAAAAAAGAAGGTTCTCTTACCCTTGGAGACAGCATGGAGGGACCTGGAGAGTATCATGCTAAGTGAAATAAGTCAGTCAGAGAAAGACAAGTATCACATGATCGCACTCATATGTGGAGTCTAATGAACAAAATAAACTGATGAATGGAGTGGATCCCGAGACATGGAGGCATGGAATAGAGTGCGGAATCTCAGAGGGAAGGCGGGGGAGGGAGGTAGGATGGGGGAGTAATCTACCGAGGACCTTGTATGCATATATGCATGGCCCCTGGACACAGCCAATGG